CACTTCATTGGGAAGAACATTCAAAGTATGTAGAAGATTGGAATGTACTTATCACTCCAGACCATTTCACTGTGTGTAGATCTGACGATCGAGGAGACCATCGGAAAACATTTAGCCATGAAACCTCTCATGAGTTTAACAATAGGAATGGGGTATTATCATCTTGGATTATTTGCAACTATTACAGAGAGCACCTTCTAATTTAAATTGCCTTTATTTCTAGAACATTATACGTCCACAGAGGACAATCATCAGACCTAACACTTCCCATATAATGAATGTTATTAGTATTATGTATCCTCCACTCTGTTTAGACAGACATGTGGATAGAAGGCATCATTGGCTTCTCACAGCTTATACCTATACTCATACCACATAGAAACATAGAATGTGACGGCAGATAAGAACCATTCGGCCCATCTAGTCTGCCCAATTTTCTAAATACTTTCATTAGTCCCTGGCCTTATCTTATAGTTAGGATAGCCTTATGCTTATCCCACGCATGCTTAAACTCCTTTACTGTGTTAACCTCTGCCACTTCAACTGGAAGGCTATTCCATGCATCCACTACCCTCTCAGTAAAGTAATACTTCCTGATATTATTTTTAAACCTTTGTCCCTCCAATTTAAGACTATGTCCTCTTGTTGTGGTAGTTTTTCTTCTTTTAAATATAGTCTCCTCCTTTACTGTGTTGATTCCCTTTATGTATTTAAATGTTTCTATCATATCCCCCCTGTCTCGTCTTTCCTCCAAGCTATACATGTTAAGATCCTTTAACCTTTCCTGGTAAGTTTTATCCTGCAATCCATGAACCAGTTTAGTAGCCCTTCTCTGAACCCTCTCTAAGGTATCAATATCCTTCTGAAGATACGGTCTCCAGTACTGTGTACAATACTCCAAGTGAGGTCTCACCAGTGTTCTGTACAATGGCATGAGCACTTCCCTCTTTCTACTGCTAATACCTCTCCCTATATAACCAAGCATTCTGCTAGCATTTCCTGCTGCTCTATTACATTGTCTGCCTACCTTTAAGTCATCAGAAATAATCACCCCTAAATCCCTTTCCTCATATGTTGAGGTTAGGACTCTATCAAATATTCTGTACTCTGCCCTTGGGTTTTTACGTCCAAGATGCATTATCTTGCACTTTTCCACATTAAATGTCAGTTGCCACAATTCTGACCATTTTTCTAGTTTACCTAAATCATTTGCCATTTGGCTTATCCCTCCTGGAACATCAACCCTGTAACATATCTTAGTATCATCAGCAAAAAGACATACCTTACCACCAAGACCTTCTGCAATATCACTAATAAAAATATTAAAGAGAATGAGTCCAAGTACAGATCCCTGAGGTACCCCACTGGTGACAAGTCCAAGCTTCGAATATATTCCATTGACTACAACCATCTGTTGCCTGTCACTCAGCCACTGCCTTACACATTCAACAATATTGGAATCCAAACTTAAAGATTGCAGTTTATTGATAAGCCTTCTATGTGCAACAGTGCCAAAAGCCTTACTGAAATCTAGGTAAGCAATGTGTACTGCACCACCCTGATCTATAATATTAGTTACCCAATCAAAAAAATCAATAGGATTAGTTTGGCATGATCTCCCTGAAGTAAACCCATGTTGTCTTTGATCTTGAAATCCATGTGTTTTTAGATGTTCAACAATCCTATCCTTTAACATGGCTTCCATCACTTTCCCCACTACTGAAGTAAGGCTTACTGGCCTATAGTTGCCCGACTCCTCCCTATTACCTTTCTTGTGAATGGACACATCATTCGCTAACTTCCAATCTTCTGGGACTACTCCTGTTAACAATGATTGGTTAAATAAATCTGTTAATGGTTTTGCTAGTACACCACTAAGCTTTTAATAGCTTTGGGTGTATTCCATCAGGTCCCATTGACTTATTTGTCTTTACTTTTGACAGTTGAAATAGAACATCTTCCTCTGTAAACTCACGTGTAATAAATGACTAATTTATTCTTTTTCTTAACTGAGGTCCCTTTCCTTCATTTTCATCTGTAAATACAGAACAAAAATATTCATTGAGGCAATCAGCTAGACCTTTATCCTCTTCTACATACATTCCTTCTTTTGTTTATAATCTAACTAATACTTGTTTTACTTTTCTTTTCTCATTTATGTATCTAAAAAAAGTTTTGTCCCCCTTTTTTACTGACTGTGCTATTTTCTCTTCTGTGTGTGATTTGAAAGCTCTTATAACTGGCTTAGCCTCTTTCTGCCTAATCTTATAGCTCATTTTGTCTTCCTCACTCTGTGTTTTTTTATAATTACTAAATGCTAACTTTTTTGTTTTGAACTATTTTGGCCTCATCTGCAGAGTACCACAGTGGTTTCTTGAATTTTTTGCTTTTACTGACAAGCCTAATGCAATTTTCTGTTGCCTTCAGTAGTGCAACTTTTAAATAATCCCATTTCTCTTGGACTCCATTTAAATTGCACCAGTCTGATAATGACTCCTCTACACATATTCTAATTTTAGAAAAGTCTGTTTTTCTAAAGTCTAAAACTTTTGTTTTTGTGTGGTGTGACTCAGTCACTGTTCTTATATTAAACCACACTGACTGATGATCACTGGATCCTAAACTTTCACCTACAGTTATATCTGATACCAAATCTTCATTTGTTAACACTAAATCTAGTATGGCCTCTTTACGAGTTGGCTCCTCAACGACTTGTTTTAGAGACAATCACAGTAGGGAGTTTAGAATATGTGTGCTCCTGGCACAAGCAGCTATTTTTGTTTTCCAATTCACATCAGGAAGATTAAAGTCACCCATGATGATAACTTCCCCCTTCATTGTCATTTTAGCTATTTCCTCAACTAGTAGATTATCTAACTCTTCAATTTGTCCTGGGGGCACGAGTTACTGTGTGATAACCAAATTCTAACGTAACCCAAACGGACACTATGTTCGCCTCACTAACTTTTATTAGGCTAGATTTTATGCTATCTTTCACATACAGGGCCACTCCTCCCCCTTTCTTGCCTTCCCTGTTTTCTTCTATTTAAAGAGTACCCTGGTATTGCTATGTCCCACTCATTTTTCTCATTATACCATGTCTCAGTAACAGCGACTAAATCTACACTATCAGTTGCTATTATTGCCACAAGTTCATGGATCTTATTCCCTAAACTGCGAGCATTTGTAGACATGACTCTAAGTTTATCATTTTTTAACACACTTGCTACAGGCACCTTCTGTCTTTGTTTTGGGGGACAATTGGATTGATGTTTTATCACCCTTTTGCCCCCCCCCCCCTCCTAGTTTAAAAACATCCTAGCAAAACCTCTGAACTGCTCACTGAGAACATTTGTTCCCTTTTGAGAAAGATGCAAACCATCTTTTTTGTACAGGTTATTTCCATTCCAAACAGAGCTACCATGAGAAATAAAGCCAAATCCTTGCTCCCGACACCATTCACCAAGCCACAAATTAAAGTCCCTAATACGCATCCGCCTGTCGTTCTGAGTGTTATGCACAGGCAGAACTTCAGAGAATGACAGTGTGGAAGCAATCTGCCGTATATCATTGGCAAAAACACTAAAAACTTCCTTAACCTCTGAAACCTCATTTGTCCCTAGATGGACAGGTACATCCAATTCCCCCTCCTGCTTTTCTCGCTTAACAATATTACAGATATGTCTCCTGTCTCTGTGAGCAGTAGCTCCGGGAAGACACCTCACAAGACCACCATTGTCCATCTCCACACCTCTTATGATGGAATCCCCCAACAACAACTGCTTTCTATTAGGCCTCACCATAGTCTCCAAGCCTGTCTCCACAACACCACTAGCCTCAGTGCCTCTCTCCACAACACCAGTTCCAGCCTGAGTTTGTTTACCAGATAATTTACAAATCTCAGACTTCAAGAATACAATCTCTTTTTGTACAGTCACTGGCTGTGTGCTTAGGGCCACAGTACTGTTGGAATGTGACTCTTCATCCCAGTATGAGATCCTTCGCGCTTTGAATCAGGTTTTCATGAAGGATATCTCTAGATTGTTCTGTGTTTAGCTTTCTCTCAACCCTTATTACCATCATGCTTCACAGTTGGGATGGTATTGCACAGGGGATAAGCGGTGCCTGGCTTCTCCATACATAACCCTTTGAGTGGAAGCCAAACATTTTAACTTTCATTTTATCAGACCAGAGAATCTTGTTAATCATACTCTCAGCGTTTTGTTTTTTTTTGCAAATTGTAAGTAGATTTTTATGTCTTGCAGTGAGAACAGGATTTCAATCTGGCAAATCTGCCATAAAGGTCAGATCTGTGGTATGCTTTTCATTGAAGGTTGTCCTTCCGCAAGTTTCTCCCATCTCCACACATGATATCTGGAGCTCACTCAGAAAAAACATGTGACACCATGTGATGTTTTTAAAAAATCTGTATTTTGTCTTTTTTTTTGCTTTGTTTTTTGGGGGTACTGAATATAGAATGCAGCATAAGGCTGCAACATAAAACAAAAAAAAAAAGAAAATGACAGGGTCTGAATACTTCCTGAAAACATTGTAAGTGTACTTGTAGCAGCTCAGCATTCATACTATTAAAGGAACACTGTAAGCACCATAGTCACTATAGCTTACAGCCAAGAGTGCCCAAGTGCCATCTCACAATAAGTAGTCACACAATTTTTGAATGGTTTGATAATTACTTGGGTTCCATCAGCACATCTTGATGCTCTTTGCCAATCAATGAACGGGAAAGGTGCACATAACTGATATAACTACTAACTGTAGAACTACAGAGGGCTGTAGTGGTTATTGTACTTAGTCTGTTCCTTTAAGTAAGAAATCTTTTGGTAAAAATAGCATATCTGATTTTTCATAGGCTGCCTTTTGTTGTCATAATATTTGCAAGGCACACTATTAGTAATAATTAGTGATGTCGCGAACCGTTCGCGAACTCGCCACGAACGGTTCGCCACGAACGGTTCGCCACGAACCGTTCGCGGTGAACTCCGGTCAGCTGACACATCCCTGCCAATCTCTGGCAGACCCTCCCTCCCAGACCTGCCTTCAACATGGATGCTGTCCAGGAAGTAGGAGGGTCTGGGAGGGAGGGTGTGCCGGAGATTGGCAGGGATGTGTCAGCTGACCGAAGTTCGCCGCGAACGGTTCATGGCGAACCGCGGCGAACCGTTCGCGGCAAGTTCGCGAACGGTTCGCAACATCACTAGTAATAATTTCATCTTAACTAGTTAGTTCTGGGGGCCACTCAGAGTGAACATCCCACACTGTGTAAAATTACTCAGAGCAGTCTGATTGGTTGGATTCCAAGCCAACCAATAAGAGTGCTCTGATAGGTAAATAGTGAGCCAATCAGGTAAAGCTCACTATTTACCCATCAGAGCGTTCTTATTGGTTGACTTAAACCAACCAATCAGAGCCCTCTGAGTCAAATTGCAGGGCGTGGGAAGGCTTTATAAGCCTTTCCCCGCCATGCGGAGCTCAGTCTGCGTGGTGCCCTAGCTGGGTGAATATGGATTTTTTTTTAGGTGGATTTTTTTTATGCTCTGGTCTTTTTTTATTTTAGAAATTCGACGTGCTTTATGGTTTTTAACTTGCCCTTTTTTGGGGCTGAAAAAATATTTTAGAAGAAAGAAGACTTTAAATGGTAAGTATTAGTTTTTATTTACAGGGACTTAGTTTTATTGTCCCCCTTATTATTTTAGGGTGAAGGGGGTAGGTAGAAATTGTATTTATTTTTTGGGGGACGACGACTAGGGTCTTGGGGACCCCTAGTCACCCCCCTCCCAGGTTTTTTTTTACATTTAGAGCCCCCGCCCACCGCTCATGGGTGGGGGACAATACGTCCCCCTCTATTTTCATGTAAGGCCCTGACCCATCGCTCATGGTTGGTGGCCGGCGGGAGGACCTATGCCCCCCCATTGTCACTAGGACCCCCACCTGCCGCTAATTGTGGGGGCCGGGGGGGTGGGACAATAGGTTCCCCCCCCTTTTCATCTTAGGGCCCTGACCCGCTGCTCATGGGTGGGGGCCGGGGGAGGACCTATGTCCTCCCTGTCATTTTCCACTAGGGCCCCCACCTGCCGCTCATGGGTGGGAGCCGGGGGATGGGACAATAGGTCAATAGGACAATAGGTTCCCCCCCCTTTTCATTGTAGGGCCCTGACCCGCCGCTCATGGGTGGGGGTCGGGGGAAGGACCCATGTCCTCCCTGTCATTTGTCACTAGGGCCCCCACCTGCCGCTCATGGCAATAGGTCCCCCGTCGTTGTCATTTAGGGTCCCCACCCAAAGGGCATAGCCCGCACTCGCGGGGCTCGGGGAGGATAATATGTCCCCTCCGCTAGTTATTAGATAGGTGGGGGTTAGTTAATCGAAATTCACGTCCGAATGCCGAACTTGGAACGTGCAGGAATTTCACACTGCTATCTAGTGTGGGCAGATTACGTGTCCCACAGGGACTTCATCTACCCCAACAAAGATGGCGGCGTCCAGGACCTAGGTCCGGACAGAAAAGAAACATTAAATATAGGTAATATGGGGGCTTAGGGCCATTTGGGGGCATCCAGGGGGCTATTAGATGTGTTAGAGTTGGGAGGGGGGTTAAAAAAAAAGAGATGCGGCCATGACATTGCCGCTTCAACAACTGGGTAATATCCCCTTATGTTTCAATTTGAATTAACCGGAAACTGAATTATTCTTTAAAAAAAACTTTTATAAAGGCTCATTAACGAAACTTTTAGACACATATTTAACCTTGTAATTAATAAACATGTGTGAGTTTATATTATTTAAGTGTTAAAAAACTTTGCCAATGTATTAAAAAAAAAAAAACACAGAAATATCACATGTTCCCTCTGAGTGAGCCATTACAGCAGATGGTGCACATCGCACTGGGGTGGTCTTGCTGAGACAGACCCCTGCTGGCTGAGCTGGATAGGAGTTGTATGTCCTGGGGGGGGCAGAGGTTGCCCCTAGTGCCATCCCACAATAATCAGTCGAACCATTGTAGAATGGGGTGATATTTACTTGCTGCCTGTACACACAATGTAGCGCACACCTTCCCGCTGCCAGGAAGCAGCACAGCCCAAAGCGAGCTGATAGTAATGTCAAGGGATTCGGCGTGAGAGGAAGGCTGTCACTGCTAGCTCGCAAACAGCAGCCTTTATTCGGTCCGCCTGACATTCAGCGGCTCACTTCTGGTTTACTCCAATGTAATCACACACATGCCTAAACTGGGTCCCTATCACCAGCCACAGCGCTCCATTATCTCCTCAACAGGCTGCACCTGGCACAGCCACCCTTCCCAGAGAGGCTGCTGACCAGTTTGCTTTTTGGAAAGCGCTGGATACATAGAGGAATATAGAAGAAGAATCACCATCCATCACACTTGAAGAAGAAACCCTCCACGCATGCGCATGGGTGATGAGCAGCCGGCCCTGGGTGAGCAGCCCAGCTTCAACGGATGTGATCACGGCAAAGATTTGCAGCTCTCGGCCGTCATTGATGGTGAAATTGTGAGTATTCTGAGATGGAACGCTGGCTATTAGCTGAGGGTCTCCCGCTCTCCGGCCGGCGATGGGAATTAGAATGTCTCTGTATGATAAGGTTCTCTGCAACTGGCTTGGGCAGGCAGCGATAGCAAGGAGAGCAACGGGTTCCATGTTTAAATTCTATCATCAACTATATATACTGTATATAGAATAGAATATTATTAATGATGTGGATTTAAAAAAAAAAAACATTTTTATATGATTGAAACATAAATGTGAGGATTAATGGTGCTCTTGTTTGGTTTCCGTTATCGTTGGATTTGCTTAAATATAATGTCACGTTTCGATACATGGAAAGCAATGCTTGCTTGTTGATATGGAAGTGTATTTATTGACAGACTGATGCTGGCACTGATACAGACGGTGGTCACTTCTCTTTTCTCTTTAATGTCTGATATAAATAACGAACAGATCTTGAAATGGGAATCGGGCGATGTGGTGGTTCAATGTGTAACTATGTAACTACTTGCAGAACCCGTGTATCATTCTTCATGTGTGCTTGGTGCAGGAATTCATTTGTGTAGGCATTCAAAGCTGTCATATCACATCCTCAATGATAACAGAGTACAGGGATCCACTATAGCTGCCATATCACATTATATCAGATATCAAAGTACTGGGATCCACTATCTCTCCCATATCACATTATATCAGATATCACAATACAGGGATCCACTATAGCTGCAATATCCCATTCTATCAGATATCACAGTATAGAGATCCACTATAGCTGCCGTTCCCATTATATCAGACATCACCGTTCTGGGAACCACTATAGCTGCCATATCACATTATATCAGATATCACAGCACAGGGATCCACTATACCCGCCATAACGCATTCTATCAGATATCACAGTATAGGGATCCACTATAGCTGCCATATCCCATTCCATCACATATCACAGTATAGGGATCCACTATAGCTGCCATATCCCATTCCATCAGCTATCACAGTACAGGGATCCACTATAGCTGCCGTATCCCATTCTATCAGATATCACAGTACAGGGATCCACTATAGCTACCGTATCCCATTCTATCAGGTATCTCAGTATAGGGATCCACTATTCCTGTCATATCCCATACTATCAGATATCACAGCACAGGGATCCACTATAGCTGCCATATCACATTATATCAGATATCACAATACAGGGATCCACTATAGCTGCAATATCCCATTTTATCAGATATCACAGTATAGAGATCCACTATAGCTGCCGTTCCCATTATATCAGACATCACCGTTCTGGGAACCACTATAGCTGCCATATCACATTATATCAGATATCACAGCACAGGGATCCACTATACCCGCCATAACGCATTCTATCAGATATCACAGTATAGGGATCCACTATAGCTGCCATATCCCATTCCATCAGATATCACAGTATAGGGATCCACTATAGCTGCCATATCCCATTCCATCAGCTATCACAGTACAGGGATCCACTATAGCTGCCGTATCCCATTCTATCAGATACCACAGTACAGGGATCCACTATAGCTACCGTATCCCATTCTATCAGGTATCTCAGTATAGGGATCCACTATTCCTGTCATATCCCATACTATCAGATATCACTGTATAGGGATCCACTATAGCTGCCGTATCCCATTATATCAGATATACAGTACATGGATCCTCTATCTCTCCTATATCCCATTATATCAGATATACAGTACATGGATCTTCTATCTCTCCTATATCCCATTCTATCAGATATCACAGTACTGGGATCCACTATAGATGCCGTATCCCATTCTATCAGATATCACAGTATAGGGATCCACTATAGCTGCCATATCCCATTCTATCAGATATCACAGCACAGGGATCCACTATACCTGCCATAATGCATTCTATCAGATATCACAGTATAGGGATCCATTATAGCTGCCATATCCCATTTTATCAGATATCATAGTATAGAAATACACTATAGCTGCCATAATGCATTCTATCAGATATCACAGTATAGGGATCCACTAAAGCTGCCATAACACATTCTATCAGATATCACAGTATAGGGATCCACTATAGCTGCCATATCCCATTTTATCAGATATCACAGCACAGGGATCCACTATACCTGCCATAATGCATTCTATCAGATATCACAGTATAGGGATCCACTAAAGCTGCCATAACACATTCTATCAGATATCACAGTATAGGGATCCACTATAGCTGCCATATCCCATTCTATCAGATATCACAGCACAGGGATCCACTATACCTGCCATAATGCATTCTATCAGATATCACAGTATAGGGATCCACTATAGCTGCCATATCCCATTTTATCAAATATCATAGTATAGAAATACACTATAGCTGCCATATCCCATTCTATCAGACATCACCGTTCTGGGAACTACTATAGCTGCCATATCCCATTATATCATATATCACAGTATAGGGATCCACTATAACTGCTGTATCCCATTCTATCAGATATCACAGTATTGGGATTCACTATAGCTGCCATATCCCGTTATATCAGATATCACAGTACTGGGATCCACTATAACTGCCATATCCCATTATATCAGATATAACAGTATAGGGATCCACTATAGC